GCGGCGCATGCGCAGTCCCGGCTCCGAGCCGGCTCCTCCCCGCGCCTCCGCCCGGCCCGGCCCGGCCGGGGCGGCTCCGACTGCGGTGCCCGGCGCTGCCGCCGACGCGCGGGAGGCGAGGCGAAGCGAGTTGAGGTGAGAGAGAGGCACCGGGGGCCGTGCAGGGGTCACGGGGCTCCATCGTAACCGGTCCCCGAAAGCGCGGCGGGAGCGGCGGGGCCGGGCCCAGCCGAGCCCCGGCGGCGCCGCGGGGCAGCGTTGTCCTCGCCTTGCCCTCGCCTTGCCCTCGCCGCGCTCTGCCCCGTTCATAGCCGAGGGCGGTCGGGTCGGGCCGGTCCCCGCTGGCGGCGGGCTGGGGGACCCTGCTGGTGTCCCCGCTGTCCCCTCGGGTGTCCCGGTTCCCGTGATGGGAGCGGCCCCGGGCCGGGCACTGCTGCGGGCAGGAGTCCGGCCCTGCTCCGTGAGGAGTCCTCAGTCCGGGCATCCCCTCCCTTGGCTGGCTCCGAATGGGCTTCCTGGCGCCTGAAACCCCGGGGGTACCGTGTAGGTCTGGCTGCGTCCTCCTCTGCAATGTTTCCTTGTAAATATTATGTCAGAAGTTTCTTTCAGACCGCGCAGGTGTGGTTCGGTAGATGTAGGAAAGCAGACGGTGTATTTTCCTCTGCGAGCTTCTCATCTTTCCGGGCTATTCGCCTCTCATTTGTTTCATTTGCTGATTTCCCGAAGTGCAATTCTTAAGCCCTATTAACTAAGGAACGTCTTTATGTGCTTTTGCCAGCCCAGCTGAGTTGATGAGGAGTGAGCAGAACAGAATTTCCACCGGGTATTTGCATGACAACAGAAACCCCGGGGGTGAGCAGGACCGTGCTGGCCGGAGCCCTTTCTCCCTCCCAGGATAGCTTGGGGTAACAGGTGAGGAACTGGTCGGGTGAGTGCAGTTGATGGTACCTGCAGAGGTGTGTGTGTGTTTGCTAAGTGGGGGCAGCAAGGCTGATGGGGCAGTGCTCTGAAAGGCAAGGGCTCAACAGCCGTGACTCTGCTGCTCCACAGCACCTCTGTTTAATTCTGCTGCGTCTGCACTGGTTCCATGAGTAATTCTGTGTTTTGTTGTGGCAAAAGTATGCCAGAATAACCGTGCAGCCAAGCCCTTGACTTTCCTCAGGGTAGTTTAGCTCCAGAAATGCCAACTGATTCCTTAGGACTTGACTGTTTAATTACATCAGGAGGAAGAAGTAGGATGAGGCTGTTGTGGCCAGGGGTCTGCTGGCAGCCCATGCTGCTGGCACAGCTGGTTACAGTGTCTTGGGGGGCTCTTGTGAGTGACACTGGCAGATCGCTCTTGTCTCCCTGTTGCACTCCAGTGTCTCTCAGTGCCCCTCGAGGAAAGTGGTCGTGGTGTCTCTGTGAAACTGCTCCCGTGGCAGGTGGGCAGCTGGACAGGTGACAGGACCAGGAGGCGTGGCTGCTCTTGCTCGTGCTGTAGAAGAAGACTGAGTCTTCAGCAGTTCTGAGTGGTTTTTAAAGCTAGTTCAAGCAGTGCTTACTGAGAGACTGAATGAACAGTAGGGTGACTGTATTTTTTTTCAGGAGGGATCTACTGCCTTGAAAAAGAAAAGAACAGCGCCGTTACTGTAGCAGTGCAAGAATAATGTGGCTGTCACATCGCAGTGATAAGTGAGGTATTTCATCCCCCATCGGCAGCAGGGGATTGATGGAGTACTGTATCAAGTAGATATGGTCTTTTCTTAACGTCTCACTCAACCACAGCCACAGTCTATTGTTCCTGTAGGATCACTAAGAGACTGCATCAGGAGGAGAAAGGGGATCAACAGTGCTCTTACCTTGCAGACACAAGGTAACTTCTAACACAGGTGGAGCAACACACAGAAAACTGGTTCTGTGGTTAAATGTGTTGCAGACCCTGTGGTTGTGTAGCTCTTGCCTGTGGCTGTAATAAATACTTGGCATACCTTACGGATCCCGAGAGTAAGAGGTTTAAGAGTAAGAGGCTTTATGTGCCTCTAATGTGCAATTGGAGATTTCTCAAGATGTGTCAAAAAAACCCTCTGAAATTCCTCAGTGAAGACTTGCTGTGGAGACAATGCTAGGTAGAGTCAGGGTGCCAGTTACCTCTGTTTTTGTTTGGGTCATTGTGCTGGTTTTGCATTAATTGGCACTTAGAAGAGGGCATGCAGGGAAGTCACTTTTCCATTCAGTTGGTAATGCCTGTCCGGAAAAGGGTTGGAAGTGTAACTGAATGTTCAGTGTTTTACACTGAATCACTGCTTAGCAAAACACAGAGATGTTGTAGTATGAATTAGATGGATATGAGGTTCTAGTTTTCCAATACGTGTCTTACTTCAGAACACTGAAAATAAATTTCTCCTGACACATTAAATGCTACATCATGACACTTAATGCAGTACAGTTATCCCATGTCTTCTTATGGAACATGTAGCTGGAGAATCCAGAATTAGGACTACTGTGGACATTACAAGTACCTGATATTCTGCCACCTGCAGTTACCCAGTGCTGAGGTGCTCTGGTTCACCTTACCATACGTATTCAGGAGTCCTGAGCATTTGCAGCTAGAGCAGGACAAGGAGAAAGAGCTGGCAGGGACATGAAATTTTCTTTGTCTCAGCTGCTGTGAGCCATGACATGTTTTGTTTGTGGAAGGGCAGCAGCTGCTGCTGCTTCGCATTCTTGGCTGTAGAGTCTGAAATGTTGGCGTGGTCTGATCCTGATTTTGGTCTGGGTCCTGTGTGATCCTTACCTGGCAGGGAAGATGTGCTGTGCTATAACCCAGCCTGTGTTAATTTGGCTTCAAGGGCCGTTTTGTGGGCAGACCAAGGCAAACACACGCAGCCCTTTCTCTGCCTCCCTTGTTCTGCAAGGCTGCTGCAGAAGTGAAAGGTGCTGAAGGAGCTGCCAGGCACACCCACCAGCAGTCCATGGCTGCCTGCACGCTGGATTTTGCCCCAGAAAGCATGCCCTGTCCCAGTTGATGATGTGAGTGGCAAGACAGAGGTTTGTGCAGTGTGGAAGCACAGGTCCCTTTTTGGTTGGGGCCTTGTGCTGCTGGGAGAAGTGTGGGTAAAGTGCAGGCATGGCAAAAGCTGCCTGTTTCAGCTCGGGGTTGCTGCCCAAAGTTTTCAGGCAAAACAAAAAGCATCGTGGTGTAGCATAGCTTTCCCAGGTGTTCTCGTGCTGGTGAAGTCCATTCTTTATGAGTATCACTCTTTAGTCAGAAATGGGTGGGCCTAGTTCTGCTGTGTTGACAGTATGTTTTATGTTTTATTGACTTCAGGGGAGTTGCTTCTGAATTTATGCTGTTGTGAGTGCTGAATCAGACCCAGGAGCTTGGCTTTATCTGTGTAACTTTTGGTTGCCTCGTGTGGGTTTTATGAGCCTGCATACATTGACCCCATTGTTTACTTTTTAAAGTATGCATGAATTTTTTTTTTTTTTTTTTGAATGGTTAAAGCCATATTTTTGCCTTGAGATCAGCAGGGCGAAACTACACATAAAGGAAAAGAAACTGTGGAGCTGCAGTCATGTTCTGTCATTAGGTTAATTCTGTTTTTTTTGGAAATTTGGATCTAAACGATTATCTGAGTTGAAAATTGTTGTGCGTTAATGCAGTACTGTTTCCTTTGGAGCTGGTAAGGATTCTGCCATCAGCAGAATATGGGGGAGGAGTATGAAGGTCTCACCATGGTAGAGTGAAAGTAGCCAAAGGAAATTCCTGGAGTCCTGCCAGTCCTCTGGCAGGAATAACAGTATTTTGTGGCATGTAACCCTCATATACTGTCTGGAATTAGTGCACGCATCTGTGTTGGGTGTTGTGTGAGAAAACAGGTAATGATGCTGCACCAGGGAGGATTCTGGTCTGGGAACACTGTGTGTAATGAGAGGGTAGGATGAGAAAAGTGCAGTTTTTCCTCCTCATCTCGGAACAGGGTTTTCAAGACAGCCTTGTAAATGAATGTTCTTGGAGGATGTCTTATCTACAACTTGTCTTTAAAGAGTAAAAGCCCTGCTTTGCACATAAGCAGGCGTTGTCTTTCTGTGTCCTGAAAAGTCTGAAAGCACTGGACTGTTTTGTGTGGTGTTCAGAAACTAAAGGACAAATCTTGTGCTGCAAATTGTTGTTGCTCCACTACAACCGGCAGAGCACGGCGGATTGACTCTGGTGAGAGATGTGAAGTCACCTCCCCAGCCTCATGTATACATGTTTAAAAGCAGACACAGCTCTTTTCTGTGGGACTTCTCTCAAAAATACCCCACAACTATTCTTTTTCCTCACTCCACCAGCTCCAGAATGTGAATGTCGTCTGGCCAAATGCCCAGGACTAAATACAGTGCTCTAAACAAGGTCTCACAAGTGGCTTGTACAGGAAAAGGAAAAAAAACCACAATAGCCAGATACTTTTTTTACTCTTGAATGGTTCTTTTGCGCTTTTTAAATTTTTTTAATCAAAAATTACCCTTTTGGCTTCTACTTTATATTTGCTAAATACAAATCTGTGCTTTCCAGGAATTAACTCTAGGGCTCCAGCTCAGGTGCCGATTTTGTTGAAACACAGACACTTGCAACATGAAAATAACCCAAAACCTTACTGGTTTTTCTTTCGTGCCTGATGTGTGTTGTATATGTTGACATTCCCTTCTTGACTGTAGATCTGTAGCCTCGTCTTCCTCCAAATCCTTTGATTATTATTTTCTCCTAGTGGATGATGAGTTTTGAGCACATGCCAAGGCGTGTCTTTAAATGCGTTTGAGAGGGACTGTGTGGAAATCGAGGGGAGCATTGGCTTGGCTCCCTGGCTCAGGTGAGGAGCTGTGGAGCAGCAGGTGGGGATGGCAGAGGGTGGATCTGAGTGAGTGCCCAGAGCAGCACAGGGGAGCCAGTGCTGGAGAAACGCTGTTTACATGAAACCTTCTTTTATCTTGCTGCCCTGCAGGTGCCCGCTCAGGTGCTCAGTGCAAAAAGCCAGATGCTGTGGCACGGGGGATTCTCCCGTGTGGAGCTGTGGATGGAATTCCCAGCTGCTGTGTTCCAGCCCAACCTGTGTGCCTGAGCCAGCGTGCCGAGGTGCTGCTGTGTACTCCCTCTCTGTGCTGGTTCTGTAAGTGAGCCTTGTGATAATTTTAACGTCTTTGCAGAAGATGGTGAGCAGTTCCCCACACAAGCAGATCCCAAACTGGCAGCAGGCATCCCCAGGCCATTTTAAATTCCCCAGTTAAGTTTTTAAACTGATTTTTTTTTTTTTTTTAATGCTGCCACAAACCAAAACCATAACCTTCACAAAAATAAACAAGCATCCTTTTGCCAGCTGGGGCCTTGGCATGCTTTATGCTGCATAACTTGCTGAGACTGTAATTTCTTAGGAAAGCAGTTAGATATTGGCAACTGTGAAATGTCAGCCCTCAGTAAATGTTGTAATAAGCTATTTTAGCTACAGCTGGGGTTTCAAAAAAGAATAATTTACTCGCAGCGTTCTTGGTACTTAATGCATGAATAGAAATCAGACTTTGGCCATGCTGAATAGCTTAGGAGAAGGAAGCAGGGTTCTTGTGGTGTATTTGCTAAGAGCCACAACAGTCTGGATGCATGACTGGCAACCTTTAGGGTGCTCTAGGTTATTTAAGTTTTGTATGTACTTGTACCACAGCATATCCTTAAATTTTTACGTTGGTTTTACTAGATCTATCTAGATACAGCTGTTGAAATGATGGTTGTTCTGGAAGTTTATGAGAATTCAGTTTTGGTAGGTGGAAGTAGAAAATGTGCTGGTAACTTGAACTTGATTGACTTAAATAGTAGGTGCAGTAAAACTCATCCTGAAGTGTTTTCTCAGAATGTGTGTTAGATCTGGGAATTGCTACTCCAGTCTTTGTAAACTGCTTTTAAGGAACTGGAACTTTAGGATATTTTCTTTGAGGAGTTAGAAAAGCTCAGTGTTATACTTTATGTAGTATATCCTCTGCAAACTGTGTTGCTTGGAATTTTTAGCAGAGGAAAAAATGAATTCACCATCAAGCGAGCAGCTGTCTTTCCTTTGGATAGTTCAAAGTTTCTGTTTAGTGGTTCCATAACAATTCTTGGTTCATGTTTGTTACACTGATGGATGCACGGTTCCTCCACTTTGGCAGGAAGCCCTACAAAGATATTTTCAGCATCTGTTTTCCAGTATGTCTCTTTAAATGTTGAACTTTATTGCAAAATTTTTGCTAGAAAATATGATCTGCCGAAGTAAATATTTGGTTTGTTACAGTGCAGGTTCATTTTTGGATGTTTATGTGAAAAATATTTTTTCATCCCTTGGTATTTCATGAATGCCTGGGCATATGTAAGCTATCACTTGTGGTGATACACCGTGATTGCTGTGGTGTGTTTCCATGTGGTTTACAACAGCTCTGGAAGCCAGAGAAATATTTTAGCTGCATCCTGTGTGATTTGATCCTTGCTGGAGTGGTGTTCTCTCTTGGCAGACACACTGGGTGCCATCCTGGGCTGCTGGTGGCCTTCTGTTTGCCATGTCACAGAGAGCCGTGGCTTTCACTACTCCACAGTGAGCTGGAGGAGGCAGCTGCTTTTTTTTCTCCTTTTTAGTACTGCACCCTGAGAGCTATGTCTAAATTCAGCCTTTTAATTAAGGTTTATTTCAGGCCAAGGAGTGTGTAATACCTGTGGCATTTCCACTGATGCTCTGTTTGTTGCTTTTCACTGTTCTATGTGTTCAAGGAACATACGGTGGGTGAGAGTTGCTTTTCAGTAGTTACTATCAATATTCTAATTGTGACTAGAAGAGTGTTGGTTCACATAATCTCAATAATGTTCCTGGCAGGCTATTGGCTGCATCACCAGAGTACAGAATGTAAAAATGAGAAAAAGTCTTGGGCCTTGGGGTCAGCCTTGGTGGCCATAGAATGGCAAATTGAACTGTTACTTTCCCAGGCCTGAGTATGATAGTGTATTCGTGTGTAGGTGTGAAATGTGTTTGTTCCTGGGTGGAATTATTACTGTGTGTTTTCGGAGGTTGGAGAGAGGTGCTTTTGTGTGGCAAGGTGCTAAGAGGCGTGAAAGCTGTTTGAAAGTGCTGCTGGGCTTGGAATCCATCTCTGACCGAGAGATTAACAAGCAGAAATTGCCAGAAATTCACTGAACGTGCAGGTTTCAAACAAGTAGCTCCTGCTGCAGAATTCTACAGTGCTGGTAGCACGGGGTAGGCAGTGTCTGCTGTCCACAGAAGCAGTGGCAGGAAGCTTAGGCTGAGGTATCATTGGCAGGATGGACAGAGCAGAGGGGGATGCTGATGCCAGCTCCTTGCTGGGCATTGTTCATGTTCACCTTCTCCCGTAGATAAGAGTAGAGCTTTGCAAGTAGGAAGAGAAGCAGGAAAGCAGTCCTGGCCACTTGAGGTCATGGTCCACAAACCGTGGAAGATGTTTGTTTTCTCCTTGATGTGCCCTTTGGAACAAAGGCAGACTGACTGGGAACGAAAAGATTAATTTTAGGGCTGGATTGAGTTCCCCTAGCTCAGTCACGGCAGGTCAAGTTACTCAAGAGATTTGTGACTCCCCAGGGACATGGATTCGTGTTTGTGCAGGGGATACGTCATAGCTGAGGTACAGAAGACAGAGATGGACTTGTGGTGTTTATTTTAAGTGTGGTTGATAGACCTGGAAGGGATTTTTTACATGTTGTTGAATTTATACAGGAAGCTGTATAAAAATAACTGGCACCAGATGTAGTAGCAATAAACTAACGCCGTGTTAAGTCTTGAAACTGTGCTATGTAACCTAAGAAGTATTTTCACCTCTTGGCAGCTTCTTCTTCATTATCTTCAGAATGAGAGGTGATGGAATTTACTGGCTGTTAAACAATTAAATTTTTTGGTTTTGAAAGGACTGAGTAAACGTGTATCTCACTACGCTTAGTGGCAGCTCCCCATATGCAATGGTTGCCAATGTTTGTTGCCATCAGTCATGGGAATCTGTTGGTACCAGTGTGTCAGCAAGATTTAAACCTAGGAGACAGCCTGTCACCTGGCTGCTGCCTTACTTTCTGGGTTTGACTGCATTTGGTTTAGATCCAAAAGAAAAAAGTGACACCAACAGACTCTGTCTGACCTGTGTGCATAACGTAACCCCCCCAGTGCAGTAAATACTGGAGCCACCAATGTGTTTGGAATGCTCTGCTTTTGGCAGCACTTGGACCCAGTTTCACCATTTCAACCAATGAGGTTGTTTATTGCCTTCTAAACAGCATATTTCAAAACACAGTGTCCCAGGAGAGAGAAAACAAACTGTTTACACAAGCAAACTAATAGAGAAGAACTAAACACCCACGCTTCTTTCAGGAGTTCCCCTGCTAGGAGTTTGATTGAACACATTAATCCGGTGGGAAACTGGAGAAACTTGTTAGTTCTAATCAAACGGGTCTTGATGTGACTGCTGATGCTGCTGAGGAAAGAAAGTTTGATCCCTGTTCGACTGGGGGATCAAAAAGGAAGTTAGAGGAGGGAAAAGTGCTCATTCCAAAACCTAGGGAGATTCCTTCATTCCTCCTCGTCTGGAAGAAGATGGGCTGGGAGAGGCTTTAAGCTGTTCTCCTTACTGTTGGAGTAGCAGTGGAAGCTGTCCCTGCCCATTGCAGGGAGGCTGGAACTAGATGGCCTTTAGTGTCCCTTCTACCATGGACTGTTCTGTGAGTATGAAATCCTGCCTGTCTTCTGGGATCCTTGTGCAGATGGCTTGGGAAAAAGGGGTAGAAAAGGAGAGGAGCTTTAGTAGGAAGTAGAAGACAGTGAAAACTGAAAAGCAAGGGGATTGGGTTGGTAGATGGAAACCTTACAGGTTCAGGGAAGGAGGCTAGCAGAGTCATGAGGCTTCAGCTGCAAGAGTGAAGGCAGGCTGGGTGTAGGGGCTATGTCAGGGAAGTCTGGGGCTTGTCAGGATCAGCAGAGGAAGAGGATGGTGCTAGCGATGTGCTGGATCCCAGAAATCTGGAGTTTTTGAGCTTTGGGAAAAGGGAAGAGGGCTGGGAAAGCAGCAGTAATCTTGGCACTGCTGATGAATTGACAAGTCAGCAGTGACAGAAGGTGATAGGGTTATCAGAGGGGCAAGAGTTGCAGGGAGAAGTCAGAGGGGACAATTGTCCTTGGAAGGAAGATCCAGACGAGCACCACCAGGACAGGAAGGGTGACCTGTGCTTACGTGACTTTGAAGTTACACGTTGGGACCCGAGCCAGGCAGTTTGGTTGAGGCTGACATTGCCAGTCCCATGGTGAGGATATAGAAAACAGGAAGAGGAGTGGAATTAACTTGAGACAGATATTTCAACAGCTGTCAGTTTTGAATTTCCTGGGTTTCATTGCTGTGTGTCATAAGCTTGTTTTCACTGTTTAGTATTTTTTTTTCTATAAAGTAGTCGACTGTTATCAGAGTCGTATGTTATGACTGATTTTCCTTTGTTTGGTGAACATATATTTAGAAACTAAACTGTAGATTCTGAATATTTGGAACTCCCTTGTCCCTCAAAAAGAAAACATCTCCAAGGTGAATCCCTCCACCTCTCCAGTCCCACAGATAAGCAGTAGTTCAGTAGCTGTATGAAAAAAAAGAGAACTTAATATTTCAGAGCATAGTTGGTCAAAGCTGGGCATGGATATTATAGAACAGTCACTCTTTATAAACAGTCTTATAGACCTGATCATTCTGAGGAATGTACAAGTGTCTGAAGTGATTCTGAGAATTTAAAATGACCTCCTGATTTTTCCAGATAGGTCAAGTAGGGGCAATACCATGCATTATGCTCTCTGCAGACTTGGTTCTGAGGCACTGTTAAATTGCCCTATTCATGCCTCCCCTCTGCCCCCAACCAGATGCTCTACCAGGCAAGAAATAAAAAGACTGTGCAAATAAAGGTTTTCTCTCCAGGATTTGATTTGTGGTTTTGTTTCCGTTTTTAACCTCCTAGTAACTCAAAATAAGTGCAGGCCTTTTGTCTAGGCACTCCACGTGCCCTGGTGTGTGTATGGCACAGCTGACAGGACAGGGATTGTGTGTATGGCACAGCTGACAGGGCAGGGAGGTGGTGTGCTGTGCTTGTGTCCTGCTGGCC